ATTCAACATAGCTGAACTCCACCAGTCATGGCTTCTCATTGAGATTCCAAGAGTTTTCTCACAAAGCTAGTCACTAATGAGTGAGTACATAATAATTTTTATTAGACAGTTCTAAAGATTGTGGAGTTACATTAAAATCACGGATCGATCACTGAACGGACCAATCTGGAAGGACTGGATGGCCTTTTCGTCTTAGTATAGGGACTGATCAATGAAACTCAGCAATCTACACAACCCTATTCATGAAAATATTCTTTTAGTTTTTGTTGGGCATCTTAGATCCCCAAAACTCGTTTGATAAATGCCTTAATTTTGGATTTCACGTTTGCGAGCATGGGCTTATCATATCCCAACACGGAAATCCATGGCTGTGATTGGCTGCTGTGTATTTTAGTGTGCTATTTTCGTAACTGTCCCAAGGACGTTTCTATGATGTATAAATAAACGAGAATTGTGTGCTTGATTGTATTTTGAGATTGCTGGGTGTTTGTAGAATATACATACTTTCTACGCTTACATAGACTTCTGTTTTACAGCTTGCGATTCAAGTTAGCCTAAGCTGGACGCTGATTAATTGTCTCGTTTGCGTTTATCGACTAAGCTGAACTTGTAATAGCTTCAAGCATACCTTGTGACGAACATAACAGTTTTATTGTTTGTTCATTAAAAAAGGAAAAATTATTTTAATCAACAATAAATTTCTCATTCTTGATTCTTCAAAAAATATATTTCATTTCTTTGAATGAATTGATCGTTTTTTAAAGAGAAAAAATCAATAACTCAAACGATCCCTAAGAAATGAGACCGATTGAAACTTGTCATCAAAAATCAATATTCTATTCACTGAACTAATGATGTGTGTGTGTATATATATAAGGTTGCTTTATTGTTTCCCTATAAATAAATTTATTGACTTGTCTGTCGACTGACTGATGAAAGTTCTCTTAAGTATGCTGTTGATTTGTTGAGTTGTATATTCATGTATATATATATATATATATATATATATATATATATATATATGTACATATATATGTATATATATATATATATATTTATTAGGGTACATATATATACTACTGAGCACTATCCAGTTCGTTAGTACAATGTAACATTATCAAGTCAAACTATAACCCAGTTATTGGAAATTGGAGTATGCTTACTTTTACCCATATATTTATATATTAACATACATACAATATGACAGTAAAGTTTTTACCGTCATTGTAAATTATACAATGGTTACAAGTTATACTTTCCAATTTCGTATATATACATATATATAAGAAGTGACTTCTCGTGATAGATAGATTATTGATTTTCTACGGTAAATTAAGCTGATCAAGTTGACATTTGTAAGTGAGCATACGTAGGGTGATGTTCAATCATTGTAAAACTTTTTATAATCATGATAATCAATGAGCAGTTTGCTATGCTCGTCACTTGATAAGCTTGAAAGTAATTAGTACGAGTGCAGCTTAGTCGATAAACCAGAGCGAGACAATGTCCAAGTGACACGATACGCTAGGTTAATGCCAGCGTCTCAATGCTACACTAAGTAAAGGAAGAAGTCTTGACAAGACGTAGAAAGTGTATTCTACAAGCACTCAGAAAATATATGAGGTTTCCAAGCACACAAATCGAGTTTATTTATACAATGATAGAAACGTCCTTAGGGGAGCCATAAAAATAGTGTACTAAACTAACACATCAACCAGTGACAATCAAAGATTTTCCGAGTGTCAAACGTAATCTCCAGGTCAATTAATCAGCTCATGTTCGTAAACATAAAATCCAAAATAAGGACCTTTATCAAGTGAGTTCTGGGGATCTCACGTCCCCAACAAAGTTGTAATAAGTAAGTTAATGCATATCCAAATGGGTTGTTATATTCCAAGGATCCCATTTTTTCAAATACAAACCGATGCAGTTGTTGCGAGTCACGGTTGACTATGATTATCACTACTATGGGTTAATTACATTCCAATCACTAAGTATAGTCCCTCTGTGAAACCAAGACAAGGAAGAAGAATGAATCCAGCAATGAATGTATATTTGTTGGCGATCTCATGGCATCGAAAGAGTATCGAGATCGTGCTAAAGGATACAGGCGAAACTACTGTGAGCAGAGTAACCAAGATGGAAGCGACACGTTCGGAAAGTGGTTGTGTTGAGTACGAATAAACAAAGAGTACAGTAAAACCAACACTGTGACAATTGGTTATAATAATCAATGTTCCTATTAAAGCAGTCGCGTTCTATCCATAAAGAAGAAGTCTTTACACTGTATAAATGCGTTGATTGATCAGCTGAAATTATTAGTGAAGTGTGTTGTTAGTGGAAGGAGATAAGAAGTGATAAGTTCAGGTTTCATCTTTAAGTGATAAACACAACCAAGATTCGTCACCAGTTACCTGAAGGAATCTATGTTATTCATTATATTTGATTCTGTTTTAAAACAGTCTCTTAGTCAGACGATTCATCATTCAGATGAATGGGTTGTGAACCAATGTTTGTATGTAAAAGATATTTGGACACTGATTACCTCAAGTTATTTAAATTATAAAACGTTGCGTGGAGATATTAGCTCACTTGGACTAATGACTAAACTGTTGCTTCATGTGTGGTGATATAAGTAAATAGGCGAAAAAAAGTTGACAGGAATTTTAAAATTCTTAAGTAAGTCCCCTCCAGTTACATTGACTGAAGTTTATACCAGCGAATGAGTTTCGATGTTGTATTCCTTAAGTAAAACCTCACCGAGTGACAAATCATTTCAAGTAATAGTGAATTTCGTAATTAATTATGTGATGAAAATCTGTCGACTTAGTTTATAAGTTGGTCTTTTTATGCAAGTAAATACTCCTAGTGAAGTGTTCTAAAAAAATCATTATCCATCAAGTGATTCTCACCGAAAATATCTACAGTTCATTTTACTGACAAATAGATTTTTATTGTAAAGACAAATTTTATTTTTGCATAAATTTTTACTACTCATAAGTAGACAAATTGAATGAACAAAATTCCAACTGAAGGGTATATGTTTAATCTGCAAGAAAGGAAAAATTGGAAAAAATTTCGTCTGAAGAACTAATTTCTCAGAATAAAACCAAAGACAAGCGTAAAATAAATAATTGCCAAATCCGCTTCTACTTGCTGCCTTCAAAGCTTTTGTATCGGCCAAATTTTACTTCGCACATTACCATATTAATCAAACACCTACAAATTAACTCAGACAATTTACATGTCGTATGAAGTCTAAGGCAAAATGTTTCTTTTTGATAATTGTACATTTTTCTCACTTGTTTCTTTCAGTTACAATGTTTCTGTTCCTTTTTCGCTATGTGACAACATTTCTTCCCTCGCTTTCTTTGTTTAGTATTTTGAAATGGTGGAGAAAACTTGTAGCTCAGATGGATGATTGTGGTGGTGTTTTGTTCTCTGAGCTGGTTGTTTTGGTTGTGGAGCTTTCATTGTTCTTCTACTGAACACAACGTCATTAGCACAAACTTCAGATAGAAGAAGTGAAGTATTCGAATTTCTCCACGTTTGATCTGTAGCTTGTTCTGATAACCTCTATCTTGATTGGTTGCTGTTGTCTTTTGACCTGTCATTGTTTGCAACTTTGTTTTAGTATCTCATATAGTGGGCTTAAATATAGAAGCTTGGTACTCAGGTCAACCGGGACACAAATCCAATTTATCAAACAATCAGAACAAGAACCAAGTCAAAACGGGGATAATAATAAAACATAGGGGATTTAGAGGCTGAGTTAGATTCGTAGTAGAGCTGTTGGGTACGTTAGATCTCCAGAACTCTCTTGGAAAGGGTCCTAATTTTGGATTTTTTTGTTTTCGCGCCTAGGTTGCTTAATTGACCTTCAGTTTACATTTCCCACTCGGAAAATGCTTGGTTTTTATTGGTTGATGGATTATTTTAGTAAGCTATTTTGTGGCTCTCACCAAGGGCGTTTCTATCACATATAAATAAACTCATTTTGTGTGCTTGTCGACGTCGTATTTTCTGTATGGTTGTAGAATACATTTCTATACGTCTTATCAAGACTTCTTGCTCTAGTCAGCAGGGTTTGAGACAAGTCCGATTAGAATAGCCTATATCATATCACTGCCACATTGATCTTCTCTCTCGTCTACCGAATAAGATGAACTCGTAATAGCATTCAAACATATCAGCTAGCCACTAACTATCCAATTCTACTTAGAATACTTGTGACCTGTTGTTAGGATATTCATACAATATCCTAAGAGAGAATTATTGGTCAATTACTATTGGTTAATTCCTATTGGTCAATTTTATGGTCGTCCTAGACATCAGTGTCACGTACTTCAGTGTCTGAACTGTCAATGTCACAGACTTAGATGTTGTTTCCTGTTCGACCAAAATGTATGAGTAGGCATTATCTGTAGCGTTTATTGACCAGGACGAGGACCCGGTCCCGGATCCCTAGTCTGGGATCCAGATTCTCTTCTGGATTCGGATGTCGTACGTCCTGGATACTTATAGAATACTAGTTCTACTTCATATCATGTCTTCTTATTTTTAATCAATATGGGTGTTTGGATAATCGGATTTGAGTATCATGTCGTGTGTCACCGGATCCTCGATCCTCGCTCTCGTTTTCCGACTAAGGTAAACTCGTCATAGTTCAAGCATATCAAGTTGACGTGTTTACCTGCAGGCGTAACACCTGTTGACAATATTGAGGCAATCCTTACAGGATGCACTATATACTGAATGCGACTGATCGATTCTAGTCGTAACTAACAATCAAAAGATTCAAACTACCCATAGAAATAAATGATAGAGTTTATTTCAATTTTTAAATGTCTCAATAAAATGAACGATCATTACTTTCTATAATTAGAAAATACTCAACAAAAATCGATAAACTGAAATGAGTTCATTTTTAAAAGAAGAAAAAATAGCGTTATTCAGTATTATCTATTATTTTTTTATTTCTCCTCATAATAATAATCATTTCATCTTTCATAATATTCATTTTCTGTTAATGGAATCAATTGTTCCGTACGATTTAACTGATATTGAAATTCAGCTAATTGTAGCATAAAATTCCAACTTGGTTGCATTGGTACACAGATTTTGCGTAAATACATCCATGCATCCTAAGAAAGATGAAGAGAAACAATGTTTTTTGTGTATGTGTGTGTATGTGGGTGTGACTGAAAGAAATACACTGCAACTCAACCACGATCTCAGCACCCTGGGATTAGAACGCAGGAGCCCCGCGGGGACTCGCATGTGAATCGATAGACTCTAGGCCAGTTAGTCGGCATCCTACTGTGTGAATGTCTAACTTTAATCAGTCCACAATATTAGACTGACTCATTCATTGTCTTTAGTTGTTTTGATTCCCGTATGTAGATGTCATGGATGGAATACTGTCGATAGATCCTATATATACTAGGACAAAAACAACCGTCCAGTTCTTCCAGGTTTCTACTGATGGTCTAACATTGGTCAACAACCTTTACAACTCTTTAATGATAAATGGATTCATTTGAATTTGATGTGATCTTTCATCTGCTTTATTCCAAGAATTCAATTGTCTATACCCAATCATCTCTACTAAATAGTCAGTGACTAATTTGATCTTCTGCTCTGCTACAGGAATGAGGGCGGTTGTCAATTCACGGCTGCCCACGCTGTGGTAAAGTACTTCTTGAGGAACCTGATGGGGGAAATAGGATTAGTGTTGGTCTGAGCGACTTGTGAGCTTGACCACGAAGCCCAAGCAATAATAGCTTAAGGACAGTCAAGCATAGACTTTTTACGAGAAATTTATAAAGTTTTAGTTCCAGAGACGCAAATCTGTGGGATAAGGTGAGGTGTGACAGAAGAAGAAAGCAGCATCACTGCTGATGCTGGTTGTTCTAGGGAATCACCTCACTGCTATCATACCCTTCTACAGTAAGCAGCACGACTTCGCTCTCAGAACTTGAGTAGGTGCTTTTAGTCTCATTGTTCTCTAACCAACCCGTCTGGCATGGTAGAACCTACAGCCAATATAGCTCGGTTAGTTCATCGTTATAGGCAAATCCGACCGCCACATCAAAGTAGCAGCTACGGTCTGGATCTATTCTAACACTGGCATTGTTACTGCTTCGCATAAATTTACCGTCATGTACTGAAACGGTACAACAATTTGAATTTATATAACTATGTTTCAAGTTCTATGTCACTAATGATAAACTACTAACGTTATTTATAAAGTAGTATAATTCATTTTTAACTTACTTTTAAAGTCATCATTTCATATTTAATCAAATAAGCAATTGCAATCACTACAGATTGATTAATCATACATTTTGAAATAATTAAAACTCGTTGTTCTTTTAATCGTTTCTCCTCTGAAATAAAGTTTCATTTGAGTTTGTTTTTTTTTAAAAAGAAAGGAATAATTTAAGTAAGATTAAAACAAAATTTATTCAATTATCAATGATTAAATAAGATGCAATAATGTGGAAAAAATAGTTTTTTATGGGATTGAAGCAAAAGGTGCCTTACATAAAGCGAACATTTATAAGCCTGCATGATCAATTATCTGCGAGAAGCAACTGACTCACTGTCCGACACTGTCTAACAGTCGTTGATTGTTTGTAGTGTGTGTTTTATGTCTGGCCAAAAGAGCTCGTCGCAGCTTTTGGACAAATTAATTAGCTCACCGGCCATTTGACCTTGTCAGTCATTCGTTCGAGTATGTATGTACATACCTCCTACCTTGCTTATTACATATCTGGCTTACTTTGTCTCACTATAAATGCTTAGTCATGATTCATCATCATTGAGTTGGCTCATTCGCCTTTTCCGTTTCGCTTCACCCGTTTCCTTTTATTACCATGTATGCATGAACGATTGTCTGAAACAGACTCATTTAACCGAATCTGTATTTGCAGCTGTCACACAAACGAGGCTTGCCTTAGTATTATAATATACGGAAACTGATGGGGAAATTTATTTCATAGCATACTCAACCATTCAATAATAGTGGAGTTAGATTGCGGGCTACCAAAGTAGTGAGTCCTACCTCAGATCTTCTAATACAGCTACAGGTTCGTGATTTCAATCAGACTCAACAATATATGCATCCTTCATAATAATAGTAATATATATTAGTTTACTAATTACATGAAGAATCGAATTAGCACTTAGTTCACAATACTGCAGCTCACTTCAAATTCATCTCACTTTATACATTACGTAATGTCTGTTAGGGTATTGATCCAATATCCTAAGAGAATTGTTTGTGAGTCTCATTCTATTGGTCAATTCTTATTGGTCGTCTTAACTGTCAATGTCACACACTTCAATGTTGTTTCCTATTCGACCTAAATGTATAAATACGCATTATTTGTAACGTTTTTTTAATCCGAACCCGGACCAGGATCCCTAGTCCGAGATCATGATTCTCTTCTGGATTCGGACCACGTACTTTCTGGATGTTTGTAGAATACATGTTCTACTTCATATCAAGTCCTCTTGTTTTACTCAATGGGGATTTGCGACAATAGGATTAGAGTAGCCTGTCGTGTCACCGGATCCTCGATCCTCGCTCTCGTTTTCCTACTGAGATAAACTCGTAATAGTTCAAGCATATGAAAATGACATGTTTAGATGCATGCATAACAATTTCTTATCAAACACCCGGTAAAATCTTTAATTGCATCATTATTTCTCTCACTCTACACTATCTATTATTAATCCTGATTATAAACTATACAATTTCAGTTAATACGTAAACTTATCAAAGTGTATACGAGTTTTCATTCAATGTTTCAATATCAATTATTTAATTTTAGTTTACAAACAATTCTAAATGGAAACACTGCAATTTTAAAACACATATTCTTCCTAAACGTGGTCATTTCTTTGTATATATACCTATAGAATTTATTAGGAACTTGTTTAAAAGAATAGTTTTCTCTCATTGAAATATATATGCCTTAAGATGGTAGATGAATATGGTGACGTTTTAGTCGTCTGAGCTGAATGTTTTTGTTGTAGAGCTTTGATTATTCTTCTGCTGAACACTACATCATCATCAGCAGCACAAACTTCAGGTGTAGAAGTGAAGTAATCGCACTTCTCCACATGTATGACTTTACTTCTACACTTGAAGTTTGTGCTAATGATGATGATGATGATGTTGTGTTCAGCAGAAGAAGAACAATGAAAACGCTCCACAACCAAAACAATATCCAGGTCAGAGAACAAAACTTCACCACCTAAATGTTTGAATATAATGAGGAGTTTGAAATAGTCACATATTTTTCACTTGTCGATCGCCTGAATAATAGTGTAAATATGATTTCATCAAGAATATACTCCGCTTATTACAAATGGCTCATCACAGTTCAGTGATTATTCGTAACGAAGTCAGTATTATAAACGCTTACGTTCCGTAGGCATTGATTAAAATGTCTTGGGTTCGATAGAATTGAGCTATACTATACAATTTTCTCTCTACAAAACACTTCAATTAGTCCTTAAAAAAACCATAGAACAATTGAAAATAGAATTAAAAGTGATGAGTTTTCAAGATAGCGAATAGAGGTGAATTTAATTGTGATCCAATGAATAACCATTGTTCCTTATTGGTTAACTAAACTATTAGCAAACTACCTATGCTCTTATTGGTTAGCACATAATTTGTTTTCAACGTAGGCTGTTTAATAACAATCAACCAATACGAATGTGGTATTTTCAGTCTAAGCATAGCAAACATACTTAGTGAAGTAACTGAAGGTTTTGAGTTCTATTCTTAGGTAACATCGATGATTTCAGCTGTTAAAGCATCACAAAGTAGAATGATATGATTTTTTTAATGCTGCTTAGTTTGAGAAAGTTCTTCAACAAACTATATTTCATGAATAAAAATTATTTCTAGAGAGTTCTTAACTCAAACAAACTAGATTTAATAACCAACTATTCAAAAATTAGAACACAAACATTTTGTTTTCAAAACGATTTTGAATGCGGATTCCTCACACACACACACACAATTCCATAGAGCGTTACAATTAGTGAGACTAAACCTAACGATCGTTTGAATTCCTTGACAGTATCATTCATCCACATGGAATGGTGGTGTTCTTCATTAAAATATTTAAATGAGTGAAGTAATAACAACAATAAATGTTCAAAAAGATAAACTTACGAATAAAATCACAAACATCGTCCAAGAACGATAATAATTCATCATTATTAGTAGTATTGGATGATTGAATATTGAACGCAGAGTCTTTACAATTTTGATATCTATTGAAAATTGAAAAAAAAAACATTAGAACATCCATCTAGCTCAGTCAATGTTTAGTACCATAAACCTAATGGTAATATAAGTTGCGAATGTATTTATTTATTCCTAGTTAATTTTTTAATACTGTACACACTATTAAGTAACACGATTGACAATGCACCGTTTAATTGAGAAACGAGTTTCTTAATAACAATTGAGCGTTGAACAATGGTGATATTGAATTTTAACACCATTTAATTGAATGTTTTAAACATTTATCAGTTGCTGGATAATGTCTAAACCAGTAAGTTGTTCAAAACACAAAACATGATCACAGTAGCATACGTGATTTGTGAGATAGAATACAATTAATATATTTACAGTTGTCTAACAAAATAAAGTCCTGAAAGGAAAACTTCAAGTTCAGTGATCTTTATCACTCACTTACGGATGCCCGTAATCCCTGATGAAACATAAGCCGCTGACCAGAGTTCTCCAACCGACTCTGTGTCTTAGGTCTTCCTTACCAGTTCTAACCACTTTCTATCAATTCGTTTTATGTCTGTTTCCAATTCTCGATATGGTGTGGCCTTTGATCTACCGCCTTTCCCTTGGCCTTGAGGAATTCAAGCTAGGGCTTACCTCATCATGCAGTTGTATGATATCCACAATGTGTCCTGTCCAGCTTCAGCGCCTTTTCCTAATATCTTCCTCGACTCAAAGATGATCCTTTCTCTCTCAAAATAGGTTGATACTGATGGTGTCTGGCCAACGAGTCCTCTGTATCTTACATACGCAACTCTTTATAAGCACCTGTATCTTTTGGATGATGGCATTTTTAGTTCTTCAAATTTTTACACCATACAATAGAACTGTTGTAATGTTCGTACTGAAAATTATGACTTTGGTATTTGTTGATATTTGTTCTCAGAGTTCCAGTGGAGAACATCTGGATCATCTGTATCAGATTCACCTTGTTTATCAAGGATTCTGCCAAGTTAATGATCTTTATAATATGATATAATAACATTTCTTGATTTACTGTAACTTTAGTCTCAAACCATTCGGTGACTGAGTATCATCTCACTAACAACTAGATTAACTCTATCATTTATAGAATTTCATTTTTTAAGTATTTCAGTGAATGCATACCAATAATTTTATAGTGAATATCGAAAAAGGTTTATCGAAATTTTCATAATTAAAACATATTTTCTTGAATAAAATCTGCTTGAACTTTGTTTAAACAACAGATTTATAAACAAAAAGTTGAAAATATTAAAATAGATTGAATAGTAAAGAGAACTACAAATGTATAAAAATATACAACTGAGACCAAGTAAACTCTACATGATAGCGTTATGAAGATTGTTGAGTTGCTTTATTGAATTCATGAGTTGACCAATGTTAGACAACCATTAAAAACCTGAAAGCAGTGAATGGCCATTTCGTCATCTAGTGAGGAGTCGTGTGAGAAGACTGTGCTCATTGAAGACAGTGGATGAGGATATGTAAGACCTTATATTGATCGAAGTTAGACGATAGCACTGTTAGATACCGGCTCAGGGGGTTCACAGGTTAGGTGCTCACGCACGAGACCGAGGAGGCCTGGGTTCCGAATACTCACAGTTGCACGAGTCGTGGATGTACAATGCCGATGATTCCCATACCAGACAAAACGACCATATCATGCTTCCAGGTTTGTGATGGTGATCATAATAATAATAATAATCATAATAATTGTTCAGTTTACCAGAATTGAAAATAAACACGAAATCATTACACATACGCTATTTTCTCTGAATAAATGTAACATAATAACGATAATCATAATAATAATAATGATTAACATTCAAATTAATTCATCGATTATAAACTTACATTGGATCATCATTATTATCTAAGGCATAATTAACATGTGCTGTAATATTCATTTGTCTATGCAATTTACGATCACCAGCATGTTGAATTGTACCAATGTATAAAACATTTGGTAAAACTTCCAAAGGATAAGTTTGAAATGATTCAAGTTCCTTAAATTATAGTAATTTGTGAAGAGAAAACAAAAGGGAGAACTTATTAAACGGTCGGGTTTATTAAACATACACACAAATGTGTGTGTGTGTTTAGCTATGTAATTTATTGAATATTGTACAGTGATGGCGGCTTTTTTAAAAAACAAATTCAATGAAATTAACAAATTGAACCAGTTCAATCATAAGATTTGGCTGTTTGTCATTAGTATCAATAAAAAAAAGGTTCTTCGTTCATTAGACAAACGGTATAGTGTTGTTTTTAATTGCTGTTCTACCTGTATGTACAATTAATTAAATCGTTCATTATCGTCTGATTCGTTTTTACCCTTAGAATAAATTAAGTTCAATATATATTAAAAAAAAACTGTTTGATGTTGTAGAAATTCGATGATGAACCAATTTTCTTAAATATATTAGTTCCAGTGACCGTGATGAACATATCACTATTCTTTAAACAAAATATGTAAAGTACAGTGTGAATGTTTGTTATTCGTCAGCTATGAAGAGCCCTCAGTAAACTATCAGGTTACGTCGTTTACTATCATTAAAATGACCGGCTTTTTCATATTCTTCGGAATACAGAACACATTAATGTTGCTTATACAATTAGGATTCGCTTAATTTTTTTGAATATTTTCAACATTCCTTCCACAAAAACAGGAAGTCAGTCAGTCAGATGCAACGTAGAACTTGGTACGTAAGTACATCAGTTCATGTTGCCATACCATATCAGCACAGAGATGTAATTGTCAATTCAAATCCAATAGTAGTAGAGGTAATAAAGGTATTACGAGTAATCGGAGAGGTTAGGGTTTGAAGATATTATTCAAGAAGTTATGATTCAGTGAGAAAAGTTTAGAAAGTCAAAACTAGAGGTGTTGAAGAATCCAGAAGATTAGGATTTGAGAGAACACAAAGAATAAATGCACTGGCGCCATTGCGAACGATTTTGAGCCATGTCATTCAAGGTCTCCAACCATCGATTATTATCATCTCGCGGGCCCCAACCAGGTAGTCGATAATTACCGACATGGCTAAGTCCACCAGTCAATGACTTCATGGATTTCTGCCATGTTTTGGTTTGGCCGCCCCTAACTTTCTTCCAACCTATTCCTACACCACAAAACATAGCTCTTCGAGGCAGTCGGTGGTTGGGCATAGGCAACACATGTCCCAACCACCTCAACTGATGAAGTTTCACCACTTCATCGATTGATCTGCCATCCTTACCTACTACTCGTTTCCTAACGACAGCATTGCTTACTCGGTTGTCCCACGGTATTCGAGCAATGCTTCGAAGACACCTATGATCGAAAACCAGTAACCTACGAATATCTTCTACTCTCACTGGCCATGTTTCACAGCCATAAAGTAAGACGGAGCGAACTACTGCACAGTACACTAGTCCTTTAGTCCGCCTACGCCATAAGTGACGCAGGTTGGTAAAGGCCGATCGACCTTCTGTATCCGAGCTGAGATTTCGTCAGTCACAAGGCCATCGGCACTGATGAGACTCCCAAGATAAGTGAAGCGGTCTACACGTTCGACTATTTCACTCCCTATCACTAGTTCAGGTGCCGATGAAACCCAATCTTGAAGCAACATTTTGCATTTCGAGGGGGAAAACCGCATCTCGAACATGCCTGCAATGTTGCTTAGGGTGGTCAGAAGACTCAGCATTCTGTCAAAGTTTTCACCAAGTAGGACAATGTCATCGGCATATTCTAAGTCAATAAGCGAGCCATCTGGTAGAAGGTCTACTCCAGAAAATTCAGACGAGGATAAGGTTATTTCTAGGAGCATGTCTATGATAAAATTAAACAAGAATGGAGAAAGTGGACATCCCTGACGGACACCACTTGAAGTAAAGAATTCCGTTGATAGTTCGCCATTAGCTCTCACTCGACCAGTGGTGTTCGAGTAGAGAGCTTGTATAAGGTTAATGTACTTCTTTGGTACACCTTTCAACGAAAGACACTGCCACAGAACCTCACGATCCACAGAGTAAATGCCGCTTTTAGGTCCAGGAAAACAACTATTGTAGGACGCCTAAATGTGTGTCTAAGCAAACAACTGTTTTCAGTAAATTTGTTATAATTATTTAAAAAAACCAACCTGTAACTTAAAGGAATGAAACCTCATTCCAAAAACTGTCTCAGTAGATTTGTTAAAGTGTCATCCACTGGATTCTCTCACAAACCAAGCTTTACCTAGATGAATTTCCTACTGAATGCATCAGAATTTGCTCTGTTTTTCCATACCGATGGAAGTTTTCTGAGAAATTCATCTGGATTTCTTATTGTTTTGTAGTGTGTTCTCTGTATACTTCTTACTCTTCTTTCCTCCATCAGATATGGAGGATATATAAAGATGATGGCTGAAATTCAAAGGTGGTTTACTTGTCCGACTGATTATACCAGAGCAATGATTTCACAAATGGGACACTAGATCACAAACTATCTGGACGTACCTGGTTTGATTGACTTTAATCTCAATCACTAAGGTGGATATCTCGGTTAAATTGAATTTCTTGAGTTTATAAGTTTAACTTCAATGTTTCAGTTATCATACTAGATTATTCGGTTAGTAAAAATTCGAATAGAAGACCATGTGCAGTTTGTAATGGTTATGGCACTAAACAAAACAATGAAGACCTCTATCAAACTACCAGGATCATGAAACGAAACATTTATCCACTCCATCTTAAAAGCGTAAACTGAATGTTCATCATTAGCTTTCATTTTGGACTTGCAAGTGTACGAAAAATGGGTTGCATTAAATTTTAAGCCATTTGATTACAGGTTGCCAAAATACTTATTGTTGTTGAAGATTTTTTTGAAGAGAATGTCTTGTATCAATACTTTGGATTCTTTGGCCAGACGCTATCAGCAACAACGTACTGTGGGAGAGAACAAACCAGATTCCAGTGGAGGAGGAAATCAGGAAGAAGCAGTGGAAGTGGATAGAACATACACTACGAAAAACACCTAACTGCGTCACAAGATAAGCCCTGACATGAAACCCTCAAAGAAAAAGGAAAAGAGGAAGGCCAAGGAACAAATTACACTGAGAAATAGAGAAAGATATAAGAGGAATGAACAAAAATCGGACAGATTTGGAAAGGGAAGCCAAGGACAGAGTTGGATGGAGAAAACTGGTGGGCGGCTTATGCTCCATTGGGGGTAACATGCGTAAGTAAGTAAGTAAGTAAGTAAGTAAGTAAGTAAGTAATTAATGTCTTGTATCATAATTGCGCGCTATAATAAATTTTCACAAGACTTAGTAAAGTACTTAAGAAACCCAACAACAACTAGAAATAAATCTCAAATTTACTGAAACAAAAGTGCAACTGTAGAGCTGATTTTTATAAACACAAAGTCAAAGTGGAAAAACGTTTATATGCTTTCAAATATAGCGTGAAAGTTATACTATATATATCAAAATACTAGTTTACTCCTGTCAGTAAAACTTATTAGATGTTTTTATCAGTAGCAGTATATGTAGACACAAAACCGTGTTCTTCGGCACATTTATTATTTTGCTGTTAGCCACCCCTTTTTCTAAATCTTCCCTACTGTGCAGACTGACATGCCACGATTCTTTCATGAAAATTAAAAAGCTTATTATCATACATGCTGACGAATATTGTATTTATAAACGACTTACTTAAAACTTTCTAAAGCACAGATTGCTACAATAGCAACACCACACTAGTCTTTAGTAGAATCGATAATATAGAAATTAGAGGCAACCTTAGTTTAAAAAATGCGAAATAGAGTCTTACTCGTGGCAAATACATTATTACATCACTCCTCATGTATGGATATAAACGTGTAAATAACTCAAATCCTCCTAAATATATAAATAACGTGAAATATTGCGATGTGGTAATCAAACCCTCTAGTATCTTGACTGCTTGAGGACTTCCGTATTTATACAAAAACTTTGCAGCTTTTACTGCATCGTCTAAGAGAATAATTTATTTGAGTGGGCGAAACTATATGTAAACCTTCAGATTCCAGTGACGACGTGTTCCCATCATATACAATGACATTCCACTTGCAATCAAGCTCCGCTTCATAAGGAATACTAAAATAACTAGGGTTCAACTAATAAATTAGTTAAAACATTTCAATACTCTTTTTAAACTTTTAGCTGTAACGATATGTGATTTAATGTAATCGTCAGTAATTCGTGAATCTTCAACACATTAAATTATTTTACATAGAAGTATTACCGAAGAGAACACAATAACATGGATCACTTATAAAGGCATGAGTAAATTTCTGATTCAAAATGTTGTATAGTTCACTTGGTTTAATGAGCTCCAGTTTGGTCATTTTGAAGTAACGCGTCCAAATAGTTATGACTATCAAGGTCAAATCCGTGCCGCTCTAACGGTAGATAGATGGCCAAAATAAGTGGCTCTATAGGTCTTATATATTTAAAGTGACTCACTTTGTCTTAATGGACACACAATAACTGAAATCTCTCGTTCACACATTGACAATAGATCACCATTGGTCTCGCTACCCCCAAATGCTCGTGACAACTAGCTAGCTTAAATTACACGTTTCTGGTCATCGATTGCCTACCAAAAAAAAGCTCAATGTCCTCAATTCCTGACTTTTGGCTTAGCTGAGTTTGGAATCCTGTAATAAAAGGGTGTTGCGGATAAAATGGTTGTCAAATCGTGACATATTGATGACACCACGTCATTTATTCCAAACGGTTATTCATCATAACTCTTATACCCCTGTAGTGGAACTAATTTGGGAAGAAAACATGATTACTGACATATAAATACTTATTATTGAACATGTGTAACAAAAACTGTTTTATTGTACACCTTTTGTTTGTCTGTACTTGAAGTCATAATTCAAGCGCCAAACTCGCCAACCCTGTGGACTTATTGATCGTATTTTTCTGGCTGAGCACGTGATATTATTTCGATATCACGCGACCTCCTATCAATAAATATCGATATCCTATATCTGGCCTCCTGATTTGGAGTACGTCTGGGCGTTTAAACTTCGCAACCACAATACCCCTTCCACTTTTGGATCATGTTAGTAGTGAAGAAATTGCCTCGCGACTTTTCTTTGTAATAGATCCAAAGTGTCGATAAATCGGTGCCTGAAACTGTGTGAAATAGATATTTTGTTCATCATTGGCTTTAATTACCGTTTTCTATATCCTATGGTTTGTCGTGATCTAGTAGGAAAAAAGGGGAAAATGTTTCAGGTTCATAATCATTTCTTGGCATTCCTTACGTCAAAATCATATCAACTCTTAATCTACGGTGTGAAAGAGTGAAGAGTTCTAACATTCTGTGCATGAAGAGCTGCCGTATACACGTTCACCAAGATATATTTGTGGACTTTTAAAATCCACTTACAGCTTGGATGCATTTTTAAAGTCCCAATCCACTACTATAGTGAATTTACTGGTGTACTACTTCGGAAGCGAATCTCTTTAGGCCCCACAGAGTTCTGAATCGACTAGCAACAGCCGACACACATGACCATGACGATAGGCCTCAGCCATGTTTTAGACCAGCCTGAAGTACACATGTTTATGCACACCTCTCTTTTACAGCCATAATTTTATATCATCGACACAAAGTAACATTATGTCTCAAAGAAACTCAGTAATTCAGTTGCGCATAGTGTGGCAAATGGAGGACTTGAGCAGAGTTCTGGTTTTCAGAAGAAAAATTCGGGATTTTTGATCTGTTAAAGGAGAGTTCTGTCAATTAGTAGATTTTCCAACCTCTAGAGGAAATATTTACTCTGTAGCATATCCATTGCTTAGCTGAAATCTATGTAGACAACTTGTATTGATTCCTCGTCATAAATCTACTCCATCCATCCCTCTCTATCAGTTTTGAACTGTAACCCTGTCTTGGAACCATATTTTTCACTGTTCAGCGAGTTACTTGTTCCCCTTGTGGTCTTGATAGACCTTCGTCAATTCCTCCCAGAATTTCATTAACAACGTATGTTACGCGGACAGGTTCTTAGTTAGACGGGAACTGTCTTTATCTTGTTTTTATGAACTGGGTTAAAATTTTCACTCTTTTAGCCGTTAAGTAGCTTACCATAGCCGAGTCAGCCTAGCAGCTTTATTTTCTGTTGTTTACGCGATTAGTCAATACTAATTTTGTATAAATTCAAATGGGCATCAAATTTGGTGGAGCAATGTCACAGAGTCAATTAGATGTCCCTGGACCCTAGCAAAACCTTCAGGCAGGAGGGTCAATTAACGTTGAGAAGTTAGCTGATTACCATCAAGACTAAAGATAATCAAAGATCATGAACTAACTGCATGCTACGAATATGTACATGCGGCAGTAATTTACTGATTTGAACTACCACGAAGTTTGTATGGAGTCGTGGACGTTCTATTTTGTGTTTTGTATTCGATGAATATCCTCTCACGTTCGGAGTATCACCGAGATACATAGATGGTCTATTCAGCGAAGAATAATCCGAGAATTGTGTTATATCATGATCATCTCTTTCTAATCCTCTTGCACAGTGTTTATTAGTTAAGGGATATCAGACAACTGATCAGATAGTACTTTTAGTTTGAGTGCTTTCTCAGTTGTTCTAAACAAAATATGTTTAGAGGAATAAATATCCTTTACAAGAACAGGGGGATAACTCAAGAAATCCCTGCAAGATGATAACTTGAGCAAACAACGAAGAGAGTTCTATATAATTCTGGGGCTATGTTGTGAATTAATCTAGAGAGAAATCTAGAGTGTATGCCCGTAATAGGAAGAAACACGAACAGACCTTAGCAAGTGAGTACAAAAATGAAATATTAGTACGTAGTTGACAGGAGAAAAGAGAAAGGATAGTTTATGAAATCCCTCCCACTATTAGTCTTTTACAAGCAGTGTAATATATACTAATCATGTTTCCTAATTTTTGGCTCTGTTCCACAGTTAACAGATCCAAACAGCTGAAGAAAACCGAATAAGACTTGCAAAAGTAATTTCATTTTCTACCGGTACTGATCCATTTAGATTGTTTTACGATGAAGAACCAGCTTTTCGTTGAAAGAGTTCACATGTATAGGTTTGACATCACTTATTCAGAAAAGACAATGAAGCCACTGGCCACTCGATGTGAAAAGGTAATTCTCACCCCAATTTATTTGATCGCTGTTTTCTTAAACCTTATTGCAGGGACTTCGAAGATGACCATTTCTGGAGGGAGAAAAAAAGGAAGGACATGTTAACTCCTCAATCGTCCTTTAAGATACAGAATGCCAAAATAAGATCACCTCATATCCTGCGACACGGGGGGAAGTTCACGCCGTTTCAAGTGCTCATCGAAAGCGATTTTCTAAGAACCACAAACTAACTCAGTTCCCACACCCTGGAGGCGCTCAACTGTAATTAAATATTTCGTGAGACAGAGACCAGTTACTTGTCTGAAATACTCTAGCAGAAGCCTAACATGTGCGGGGTATAAAACATATTGTTGCCAAGGCAGTTTATTGTACGGCCCATCAATCACAAGATCAGAGAACCTTTAAGGCTGATGTATAAGATTGTGAAGTTGCTTTTAAGTTATGACTTACTATTAATCCTAAGTCTTTTTGTTCCTGGATGCGTGGTGGCGATGTGCTGTTGACAGTAAATTGGTAACGAATGCCGTATCCAATGTACTCTAACTTACTTCTGTCAAAATTAATCTATAAAACCTAATCTTGTTGACATCCAAACAGTTCATCCAGATCAAGACGATCCACCTTGCTGATAACTGTCATAACTGTCATAACAATGTTGACTAATTAAACCGCCTCAGTAATTCATTGACGTGGAGAAGGAGCAATAGATGTCCTACCATGATGCCTTAGGATACACCATTTTCGACCATTTTCCATCCTGTGTTAATCGTAGGTTTTTATACGAACAAATAACATAAAAGCTGTTCATATTCGTGAAATAGCCATGAAGATTACATGCAAATTAACCTATTAAAATATATAAACTGTATTTCTGAAATAATCTTAGCTTTAACTCTGGACGATCATTTATATAGCACCTTTTACGAACTGTCGTTCATTACCTCATTTTTTATGTTTATTCGCATGAATTCATATCAACTCTGACCTTTAAAATAGATGAAACTTTGAAAAGTCGTCTAATTTCTGCTTCGATGATGTGATGGTTGAATAATAAAAGATACCCGATGGATAATCATGAAGAGAGCTTTGGATCACTCATTGAAGAGGCGAGTTTTTCAAAGAACATCTCTCCCCACCATCAAGTCAAAGCAGATACTTTAGTAGATCTTCCAACATGTCTTTCAAAACGAAGTGATTTACCACCCATACAAAAGCATGAAAGGCGATTTTCCAGCCATTCAGAAAAAAAGTCAGTTACGTTTTCGTTTTCCGGCAGTGAGCGAAGCAATCACATACTAAATGGTGAGTACTGTTTTGTTGAATTTCATTTCGCATAAATCGGGCTTCTAAAATTTACCGAAACAAGGATTTGATTTCACTGTTTCAATAAAAATAGCTATAAGCACTTTTGCCGTTTTTTTATGGACGCAAACCTATAATTTTATATGATCATCTTAAATAATTACTTTCTGATGTTAGCTGTTATGTATCTAGTAATTCACCAACTTATTATCATGACGACAGAAAACGCTTTATACATTATTTTAGTTCAATAGGACCATAACCTAGAGCAAACGGATCATAAATCATCATTAAGGATGCTTTTTAGTTATTTCTTCCGGTTAGCTTTTTTGGCAAGTTAGTTTTTTGACGGGATGGGGTCACCAAAATCATGCCTAACCCTCCTCCTTTATCCGGGGTCAGGACCGGCAGCAGCCCCGAAGGTTCTACAAGCGGACGTGTTTCAATCTATAGAGTGCTCCATAGCTGCCCGTGTCCCTCTTGTTTTGACAGAAATATTTGTTTTGTCTTACTACCATAAACACAACCATGTCTTTGCATTATATTTATAATTCTGTAAATCTGAAACAGTTGGTGAAGCAAGATTCACGAAAAGAAGTTAAGTTGAAAGATAGATATCTGTTCTACTCGCTTACTAAGCACTTTAACTGTTAAGAGTACATACCACATTTTAACTTACTGAAATAAATGAACAACAACAAAGTCACTGCAAATAAGGAATCACCATAGGATCGTTTGTTAACAATGCCAAATGTTGTTATGTTCGTACACATGGATGACCGTCAGTCGCTCATGTTCAATTTAATTTTAATTGAATGTAGTCAGTTCGGTTTGTACTTCTTAAGGTGTCATTCCAACACGTTTTTAGAAAAACGTAGTAAAACACATTCCATGTATTCAGTAACATAATTAGATGATATCCATTGTGCTATAATATTTTCATTTCTGTAACCAGCGAAGGAAATGTTTGAAGTATGAATCCGTGATAAAGCAATTTTTTTCGAAGAAGAACAATTACGTCAACTCCAAGTAATTCCACCGGCTAAATAAAAACATTAAGAGAAGTAATATCAGATTCTCCCTTTGAATAAAAGATTTTATATTCATGAAATAAACAAGTTTTAGTTAGAGGACCAATATTTTCCTAATCACAGTAAATTAGGGTTACAAACGTGATAATTTAATCACCAATAATAGGATGGTTCAGCAAAGCGTCTCAAAACAAGTTTGAGAAACTACATTTTGCTAGTATCTAAACATTGTTAGTTATTTCGGTAACTAATTGTAGTTATGTCATAACTAAACAATCAAATTATGGTTTAAGCACCCACCACGTGATCTCATCTGACGTGTCTGTAAACTCTAATTGTTGTAAATGACCTACTAATTGAAGGACATTATTATCTTATTGTATTGATGTTGTAGTGAAGGAAAACACAGGTGAGGGCAACCGAATTGTATTTAACGAAAATTACAGAGTTACTCAGTAAAATAGGAAAACCATATCGTAACCGTTAATTTGCAAATCTTCAATTCATTGTCTGACATTTCACTACTCATGCGTTTCATACAAATTCCATTGTTTTCTAACTCTTCCTTTCTTAATCTTCCCCCATTTTCTGCTGCCAGGCATAACGTTTACACTCGCGTCATATACCACTTATCAGTAGCGTGCACCACAGTGTGACTCATAATTTTATTCATTTCCATAAGACACGCTATATTGGTCGAAACAGAGAAAGTATAAGACCAAAATTGGTCTTGTGTTTCACTATAGCTTTTTCACAGACTCTGTGCTCGCCAATATTACGTTCAAAGTTCTGGAAGTACATCTGTAGGACAAATGAAATCCTACAAACATACAACATTACTTCTAAACCTCTTCTTAATTTGACAGACTGTAAATCAGATACGTTGCATGAAGATCAACAAACGTTTTAGTTTTCAAAAATTTCAAATAACAGTGAAACAGCTTTTGAACTTTTATTTCAGTTTTTCCACATGTAAAATATTAGCTCCGATTTGATTTGGATTGACATTCGTTTAACATTTTTACAAAGTTTTAGCTCCTTAGAAAATTACAATGGTCAAAATGTTTTGTTTAGGTAGCAGAAGACAAACACATGAAGTACTATGTTTTTTAGTATAATGACTACCTTTAGATGAGTTTCATATGGTTGTATTATGTTCTGTAATCAAAAGACTCTCAAGTATTGTGTCATCTTTGATTTTGTAAACATCATGAAGGAAATCTACTAAACCGTCCTGAAGCTCATGTCTCTATAATTTTAGAGTTCAGTTGAACCAGTAGATATGTTTATAAGGGGCTTTAATGAGGTGGAATAATTAATATTTATGTATGTACTCAGTGATATAGAAAATACAACACCTGTATGAAATGTAGTCTAGAAGTTGTGAATGAAATGAGGCCTAAAGAAAGAATAAGACTGTGGACACTTGTGAATGTGTTTCATTCAAAGTGGGAACAAAATGTTTAATCATACATACTGCATGCTACAATAGTGAGCAACCATGTGTTTCGCATATTCTGCTTGAAAATATTAATCATGCCCCTAAAAGTACTTTATTTGATAGAGTTCACAGTTTACAGTTACCAATCTCACTAATCGCAAAACTATTAGGTAACTCTCTCTTTAAAATATCGGTTGTTTAGCATATTCTACTGTAATTACATATACGTTATTCAAAATAAAATGTTTTCCGTAAAATGTTTAGTGGTCATATAGTTACTGTCCACCAATTATGTAAACAGTGTACCTCAAAATATCCTAAAACAACTAAGTGTTAATATAATTATTTTTTTTTAATGGACAATTGTTAAGAAACAATGTTATGCTAATCATGTGATTAACAGAATTGTTTCAGTTTTTTCAAATATTACAAGTTGTCATAAGTGGTTGGTTAATTAATGCTAACTAAATAAAATGAATTCATGTTATTCTATGTAAATCTTTGTTTTTACACTTCTCAACTTGTCTATTCAATCTGTTTTATTGTACATTACCATGAGATAGATATTTAGAAACAAGTTTATTCTAATCGCAAAACACAATTGTTACATTAATAGTCAATGAATATAAACAAAGATGTTAGTCAGCTATCTATCAGCATTTAGTTAGCGCGATAAGTTTTGGTTTTATGTATAAAAGAAGTCTAGAATGAAAGTTCACCAAACTTTGTGATCATTTAGTAGGCCGACACAATCGAAATATGCAGACCTAATTGAAATTGGGAATAGTTGTAGCTGTAATGTGTTCTAAATTTTCAGAAAGTTAGCAGCTTATTCGAAACCAAATCTGATCATCTTGACCTAATGCCGAACATATAAATGTTATAATATCCTCTCTGTTCAGTGTTCTTTACATGCATCGGTTCAGTGAGTTACTTGTTTAGACAATAATTGTATTTTTTTAAAAATGAGTATTTTTTAAGTTTAAAAATATACATCGTCGTTCATTTTATAATACAACGCGACAACCAAAGAAGCAGTATACTGCGCAGCAGTTTGCTCCATCCCACTATATGGATGCAAAACATGGCCAGTAAAAGTATACGACCTTGAACGATATAGCTCAAAATCGCTTGAGTATAACCGCTAATACTTCTACTATCTCTACCACTAGGAACCGGTATGGTAATTTGAACTGACATACGTACGTCAGTCAGTAATTCAGTTACAACGTAGAACTTCGTATGTAAGTACATCAATTAAGGTTTCTATATCAGTTCATAGTGGTAGAGATAGCAAAGCGTTACTGGTAATGGACAAGATTGGGGTTCGAAGATATTATTCATAAAGTATAATTCAGTGAGATAAATTTAGAAAGCGAAAGGTAGAAGCGATGACGAATTCAGAAGGTTGGGATTTCGTAAAACATAAAGATTGGATGCACCTTCGCCATTGTAAACGACTTTCAGACATGTCGTTCAAGTTCTCTAACCATCGGTTACCATCGTCTCGGGGACACCGACCGGGTAGCCTGCACCTACTGACATGACTAAGTCCACTTGTCAGCGACTTCATGGATTTGTGCCATGTTTTGGCTTGGCCGCCCATAGCTTTCTTCCAACCTACTCCTACACTACAAAACAAGGCTCGACGAGGCAGTCGGTGGTTAAGCGTACGCAACACATGTTCCAACCACCTCAACTGATGAAGTTTCACCACTTCATCTATTGATCTGCCATTGTTACCTAGCACCCGATTCCTAATAACAGTGTTGCTCACTCGGGTGTCCCAGGATATACGAGCAATGCTTCGAAGACACCTACGATCGAAAACCAATAACCGACGAATATCTTCTACTCTCACTGGTCATGTTTCACAGCCATAAAGTAAGACGGAGCGAACCACTGCGCAGTAAACTCGTCCTTTAGTCAGCAAACGGATATCTCGCCTACGCCATAAGTGACGCAGGTTGGCAAAAGCTAATCGAGCCTTCTGTATCCGTGCTGAGATTTCGTCAGTCACAAGGCCATCGGCACTGATGAGACTCCCAAGATAAGTGAAGCGGTCTACACGTTCGACTACTTCACTTCCTATCACTATTTCAGGTGCCGATGCAACCCAGTCTTGAAGCAACATTTTGCATTTCGAGGGTGAGAACCGCATCCCGAACATGCTCGCATTGTTGCTTAGGGTAGTCATAAGACTGCATTTTGTCAGCGTCTTCACTAAATAGAACCATGTCATGGGCATATTCTAGGTCAGAAAGCGTGTCTCCTGATAGAAGGTCTACATCTTAAAAGTCTGAAGAGGAAAATGTCAGCTCTCAAAGCATGTCCACGACACAGTTAAACTAGAATAGGGAGAGTGAACATCCCTGACGGACACCACTTGAAGCAACTAATTCGGATGATAGTTCGCCATAAGCTCTCAATTAACCTGTAGTGTTCGAGTAGAGAGCTTGTTTAAGGTTACTGTACTTCTTTGGTACACCTTTCAATGACAGACACTACCACAGAACCTCACAATCCAC